ATAAATAAGTTATACATGAATTAATGACACACTGTGTCTACTTTGTTGAAACGAATAATCGATAAAAAATAGTTTGATTAGTCAAGTTTCGAAGAAATATATTATCTTTTATAATTTATTGTATACCTCTAATATATGGTACAAAAACTACTCGCAGTATTCGCAATAGGCAAGCTTTAACGTATGGAAGCATGTCATCTCAAGTTTTGATCCAGAAGTTTGAAGAAACGGATCCACTCCTTATTGATGACATCGTCCAAGTGGATGCATTCCATGATTAAGAAGATTATTATACTGACTATGTACGAAAATAGATCGTTGATCGTAGGTTAGAAGAATCCTGATTAGAGAGTAATATTCCTAGTAGAAGTGATGCACAATCTTGATCTATTTTAAACTTACGTTATAAGGGAGTGTGTGGATGTATTACAGAACCTGTAAGGCATCCTGAATTATCTTTAGATTTTTTGAGAAATGATCCTAGAGGGAAACAGATTGAACCTGATATTAATAAAATTTCAAAGAAATACAATAACGTAAGACTGATTTTACCATAGGAATGGGTAGTAATGCTGATACACAGGTTTCCGAAAGGCCATGGTCAGAGTAATCTATAAAAATTGGTCGAGATAAACTATATGGAAGATTTAAGGATAATACCCATGTTTTTTCTACACAAAGAGAAGGGAAAATTAATGAAGTAACCCCACCCAGTGAAACTAATTATGCAAGACATACGATAATGCAAAATCCTGAAGAGTGATGAAAAATACTTTCCAGTGGAGATTATCGTCCATATAATGAATTGATTCGTAAGTATACTAATTCTGACAATAATGCGCCTTCTTATATGCCGTGACGTCATGTTATAGGAGAAACTAAATTACCTGTACAAAAATATGGCAAGGTGCCCGATTCGTATACTATCTCCTTAAAAGATAGGAATATTATGCTACAGAAACTAGATCAATCGTGGAATCTTCAGCAATATGACAATACAACAGGTTTACATACTACCCCCTCAAAAGACAAAAACATAATGTTGCAGAAGTCTGACCATTTGTGAAATCTTCAGCAAGATGCTAGTAGATTAAAACACATTTTATTCGATATGCATATGGTTTTGGCTACTAAGAGAATGTTTCAAGCTGAAACTGAGTTTGACCAAAATAAAAATTCTCAGTTAACTAAATCGGAAGGGACTTCACTCATGCCTATGTCAAATATACACTCTAAAGAACAAAAGGGGGATCAACGATTAGTTTTGCCATCCGGTTTCGAAAAATCTATTTCTACAAATAATAGAAGACTTATCACTTCTTCAGATCCTTACCTAATAAGTGAAATACAACGTGAAAAGCAGCAAAGACATCTATCATTACAAGATATAACATCCCATGCTGAGACATTCCGGAAATCAATTCTTGCTTCAGATCCCTACCTAGTGAACGAAATACAGCGTGAAGAACAGGAGAAGTATTTAACATTGCAAGATATAACATCCCATACTGGGGCATTTCGAAGACCAATCCTCACTTCAGACCCCTATTCAATGGATGAGATGCAACGTGAAGACCAGGAAAGAAATTTGCCATTGCAGGATGTAACATTTAATACTGGAATATTTCGAAGACCAATTTTGCCTAGTGATTTAAAATTTCTTTATTGGCAACAACAAGAAGATCAGAATCAGAATTTTGTTCCTTCATCGCAAAAACCACATCCGGCTAAAGGGATATTACCAGTCATCTATTCAGAAAAAGCGGTACAGGGAAGTCTAGTCAGTAATACATTTCCTAACGCACATTTAACGAATATCGCTAAGGTAATTTGATCACTTCGAATTGGAGATGATATGCGACATACATCAGGGCTAGGTTTCTTTGATTCTATTAGACACCTCTCTATTTCAGAAAGATCTGCCCCTCGCAAAAAAATCCAACTTTCTTACACAAACAAGATTTTATATAATACTTGAATCAGACGTTACCTAAATCTGCTGGAGCTGATCAATATAATATTCATGTTTATAGTTCTGCCCCTCCACAGATTTTAACAGAAAGATCGAACCCAGACACTCTTTGGCAACATACTTATGAAAATTCACCCATATCTGGGCCACCTCTTTCTAAATGGCGAAATCATACCAATGATGCAATGGCTTTAAGGAATTCAACTGAAACTGTCTTCGGATCTAATGCATCTGGGATGTATGGTACTGCTCCCACTGGACCTAAAACTTTACGCGCATATAAAGAAAGTGACTCTATGAATTTACATGACGGATTGGTTGATTTCTTTTAAAAAAAATAAGTTTATTATATTTATACATTTTATTTATTGTTAAACTATAATTCGATCTAATACATGCTGTATATCTAAAACTTCATAAATTTTAACAAAAAAAAGCTATTAATCATCACGAAATAGCAATAAATAAAAGTCTAAAGTACTAGCCCTCAAGGAATACCTTAGATGATTTTATTTTAAAGATATATATATATGAATAAGTTATATAATAAATAAATAGATGTATTAATCGGATAAATAGATATG